ACTTTTTCAGTGTTAAGATSTGTCTTAAGTGGCCAAACATATACTATGGTATTAGTATTAAACCAGCTGAAATTCCTATAGCTCACAAATTGTAGGAACATTTCTGTGGGAAAGCAGCTGGAAGGAGCATTCTCCTTAAATTCAGCATCAGATTTTGAAATAGTTGTGAAGAAAAATCTGATAGTTGAAAGGRTATTGTGTCCTCTGTGGTCTTTTGTCTCTAGTGTAAACTTTGTCTGCTGTAAAATCCAATACCTTTGTAACTCTTCGTGACTCTATTGGTACATAATAACAGACTTGTTAGGCTTGGTTTTACAGGGGACTAAAGTTTGGAGGTTTTATATGATCAATGTACAAGTGAAAATAATAGTACTAACAAAGTTTGTTTTAGGCATCTAGCCTGTTGTCATAAATTGGAAAAGCAAAAGCTCATTTTCTAGTGTGACTGCAGTTCTGCTGGCAAGGTACTTCTGGACCCTGCAAAACTTTCCAGGGTTGTCGCTGCAATAAATGACTGTGAATCTGAACTGRCCTAAAACCTGCCTGAAGAGATGTTTATGGAGCTTAGCAGCAATTCTTGCTGCTTCATGTTGGACTCTTTCCCTTCAGGTCTGCAGCAAGTTTCAGCAAGGCTTCCCAATATACACAAGGATTTCAGTTATCTGATGAATCCACCTCCTCTTTTTTAAAAAATAAAATTATATGCTATTGAAGTGTGTTTTTCATGGGATTTATTTTAAATCTAGTTTGTGTCCTTTTTTTGGCTCCTACAGAAAGGACACTGGATTCTGACAGTGTTGTAATACCCTAAACAATGTCCCAAGAATGTGAAATTGTGCTCTTTGCTGGATGAGTATCTGATACTTGGCTATTTCTATTGAAGACATAGGCATGTTAGAATTTTGGTATGTCTTCCACCCTTTTCCTTGATTTATTTATTGGTTTCTGTTTTAGGGCTACCAGAGAGCCTTAGTTACCTGTAATGACCACCTTCAGAAAGAGTCTGAGAAGCTGAAGACATTCTTTGTTTTGAATCAGAGAAGATGGGTGTAATGTGGCCATGCTTGTTGGGAGACTTGTCCTGTGCCTTGGCACTGGGATGTGGTTGGCAGGAGAGCTGGTTGTGTAAGGTTTGGAGAAGTGGGGAGTGACTGAATGCCTCGTGCAGGCTGTGTTGGGTGACAGTGGGAGCTGTTTTGTCAGAGGTGCTAGATGGACACTTTGTGCTGGGGGGAATAAGTAGTCTGTAGCTGTTGATTGGGTTGACTGACTTGGACATGTTTAGTCTGTTTTATCACGGATTCAAATAGTTTGGAAAAGACCTCTGTGATCATCAAACCCAACCTATGACCAAACACCATCATGTCAGCCCAATCATGGCACTAAATGTCATGTCCAGTCTTTCCTTAAAGACCTCCTTGGGCTTCCCATTCCAGTAGCTGATCATTTTTCATCTTTCTGTGAAGAATTTCTTCCTAATGTTCAACCTAATCGTTTCATTATTGTTTCGTTAGTGAGGTTGTCATCTTACTAAAGAACCAGAGCTGACCAGACCACTCCCACAGAACCATCTTCACCAAAGATGTCCAGTCAGTAATTTTTTCTTTGCTCTGTTGATTTTTATCAGTCCCTTGCCCCTGAAGAAGGGTCAGAACCTTCAAAAGACACCATCTGGAAGGTTCCCTAAGTATGYTGGAAAGCTGTCATGGCTGGAGGACAGAGTATGTTCATATATGTTTAAGTGAAATTTGTTTGGTTTCATTTTGTCCCACTGCYCTTGTGTTCTCATTGGGCACTGCTTAGTCTTATCCACACCTGGATCAATAAGATTTCCCTGAGCCTTTTCCCAGCACTTTCAGCCTTGTCTTGTATGCAGATACTGTGAAAGTTGTCTCCGCCTCTCAGGTGAACTTTGATGTTTCTGGAAGTGCTAGAAAAGCACAGTAAAACTCACAGTGTTCCTGCTTAAGCTTGAGAAGACTATTTAACAACCAAGATTTGATCATTGTGGACTTTAAAACTACAGATAATTGATTTGAGTGGGGTTTGAAATGGAGAAAGCAGTGTAAAAAGCAGAGAGGAGACAAGATAGGTGTATTTCATAGTATTTGCTGCTGAGGAGTTCTGCTGCAACTTACACCAGTTGAAAATTTTTTAAAAGAAGTTTTGACCAGCTTATATTAATGAAGTCCAACTTACTGCTGACTGATTGCATTGTGTCTCTTCTTTAGTGAAGCTCTTTAAGTGAAAGCTTGAAGCATTTAAAAGCATTCAGGACTAGTTCAAGCATTAAGAAGTATATTTAGTCAACTAATGTAATTTCTAGTTGTTATTAGAAGGAGTTGTGATTCCTTAAAAACATTCTCTGTCATCACTGGACTCTGTTTTTACTTGGGCAACAATACTTTGGGATGTTTCAGAGGTTTATTTAATCTGCACTSTTCTGGCAGTACAGTGGTTTCTTGCCCATTACACTGAAGTGTGAATTACTTCAAATAGTGATGATAGATTATTCAAATGGTGCTACTTGCTATTACTGAAAAGCAAATTACAAGTGTTCTCCTTGAGAACCGTGAMGTGGCAAGATGTGGGATATGTAGCCCCTTGCCGTTTCTCTGCCTTCATATGAAAAAAAAAAAAAGTATGGGATGAAACAATCCTAACATTCCCCATGGTCCCTTCCACTTTACAGACGAGGCAGCAGGATTCACATCTGGTTTGTCTGCCTATCCATGGGAGTGAGGGTGGCTTGGAGTATCACTGACAAAATACAAGAGGAAATTCAGCACCTGAATTTCAAGTGTAAGAAGCTAATGTCTGTTTACTGCTATCTGTCTTTGGAACATGACAAGATGGATGATGACTGCAAGGTTCTTCAACTTCTCCATTGGTCATTGGCATGACTTGAGTCCATGTTTCACAGTCAGGAATGGTGACCAAAATGAATTTCATTTTGTGAAATGAAATGTGCTGTGTATTTCAAACACAAATACAGAAATGTTCTCCCAAGGGAATAAATGGAATGGGTTCATGTTGACACAGTGTGGGTGTGATTATCTACTGCTGCTGTGGAAAAAGGACCAGGTGTTTGGCAGTTCAAGTCACTGCTGTGAGCATTTGCCATGACCAACACTGTTGTGGTCCCCTTTCCATGTTTAGCTTTGTTAAGCTCTCCTATAGTGTGTGTATTGAAGTATAGTACCTGCTAATGTGCTTCAAAACAGTGTATCATGAGCAGTATATGTGACATAGATATTCCTTACATTTTTATGCATTTATAGGTTTCCAAAATGGCTTGGTTGAGTTGGTTGGAAGGTGATGTTTTCATTTCCAGACTCTTAGGTGATGAATAGCTGTTGTCTTTATGATTTGTGACTGCCAGAATTTCCTGTATATTTGGCAATATTTTATGTCAGCCACTCAAGACAATTCAGTGCAGAAGCAAGACAGGACTACTCTGTTTGCTGCAGGCAGTAATAGTCTGGGAATATGATGATTTGAAACAAGTTTAGAGAATATATTTGGCAAAAATAAATGTCAATGTTACAAAAAGTGTATGCTAGGACATAGGTGTGTATCATAGGCACGTAACTCCAGGGATGACTCATTCTCATAGGGAAGGAAATAATTTCTTTTCTTAAAGGAAAAAATTAAAACTAGGTTTTCCTGTTTATATTCTATTGGTTCCATTGTTAATAGTTCTATTCAGAAAAAAGTCTTCCAGACGTATCATTGAAGCATCTCTTGCATTCCTGGCACCCTCATGTAGTTCTGTTTTTTAGTAAGGGTTTTCTGGCTTCATCCATAGGCAGCAGAGGGATAAAGACTTCACTGCAATCAGTGCAGCTGTGCTTGTGATCAAAACTGCCCACAGATCAAAATTATACATTGATTTCATGCAGCTCTAACTTCAATACCAAGGAAATAATATTTCTTCACATTTGATTCCTTCATGTTTTAATTAATTGTTGGATGTTGTTATGCACTGATAAAATAGATTAACRTGGGGAAAATTTTCTACAATCATTCAGGATTTCTGTCTTTTAACCTTGTTGTTTKTGCTCTTGTGCATTGTGATCTATGGAGGAGAGGGAGATTTCAATGAGAATAGTGCTAACATTTGGCAATGCCTGGAAATGACTGAATTTGAGTGAGAGGGAAGAGTATTTGGTTGCTGCARGTTTGTGGAAATTTCTGGCATGAACAGAATTTCTTGATGAACAAATGGGTCTTTATTACTAAACAAGCTTAAGCTGTCAGTGAGCAACTCTYATGGATCTTGTGCAACAGATGGACAAATATGTGAATACACTGCTATGCTCCTCTGAGTAAACTTAATTGTATCAAAAGTAAAGCTCATGTGCTTATTCTACTTCATACAAACCAAATGACTCTGAGGCAAGGCACTTTTTATGTATCTGCAATTTAAGTTGTATGATACTGTCAATCACACACTTTATGGCTGTACTGCAGTTCTTGGATCAGAACCTGCAGAAATTCTGTGTGTGCAGCAATTAGCACAATTTTTTTTTTTGTGACAGTAGCAGGTTCAAGTATGAGAATCAACAAAGCATTGCAAGTATGTATGGGACAGTGTTTGGTCCTTGGCCCTAAATGTGCACTGAGTAAGAAGCACTTACCCTATGGGCAGTGATTCATAATTGGTAAATCTTCAGCTGGAAGTTCATGGGGGGAAAAAAGCACTGCCAGCAGCTGATTCCATCCACCACACAAGAACAAAAACCTACCACCCACCACCAAAATATGACTCAGTATCATATTCATATTCCTAAATCTACTTTATTCTAATAGGTGGCCATCCAATTGTTTCCCGGTTCCAAAATACTTGGGAATGTTACAGTTTACAAATGAGCGTCGCTGTGAGGGAAATGCTTGTTCTTAGTGTTCATTGTTGGTCTCCCTTTTGATTGTGTATGGCTGACAAGTTGCATTTCCAAGTCTGGTTTGTATTCATTGTGTGGTTTTTCTTTCTGTTTTAGTGGACTATATTGTGGAATATGACTATGATGCAGTGCATGATGATGAGTTAACGATCCGAGTTGGGGAAATCATCAGGAATGTGAAAAAACTGGAAGAAGAAGGATGGTTGGAAGGGGAGTTAAATGGCAGAAGGGGCATGTTCCCTGACAACTTTGTGAAGGTGAGTTTCCTGCACTGGCTTGGTTTTATTGTGTTGGTGTGGCAGACTCATTGTTAATGAAATAGTYGGAATACAGATCAGTTTTAACAGGGCAATTTATTTTTTTTTTTTTAATGGGAAGACATTCTAGGTGATGACATTTTTTCAATATGCTTTTGWAGATCTTTTTTTAAGTTCTGCTGTCTGGTCTTACTTCAGCATTTCTTTTGGTCTGTACCCTTGCACTGTGTGTTCTGTCTTCTTCCTACTTCTGCAGTGCACCAAGTTGTCTGTAGCCATGGTCACCTTCTTTAGTGGGATGAACTGATTAAAAAACCAAGACTATAAAAAAACCCCTAAACTTACCCCTACAGAAGACATCCAGTTGTGAGAGAGTTTGGGAAGTGAAGTCACAGTTCAGTCAGCTCATCTATGATGAAAAGCTKCATCCTCAAGCTGTGCTGATGTGGGTGCTTCAGCCTGTGTGGAGCTGCTTTATTTGAAGGAGCAATTCTGCCTTTCCCTGGACTCCCTGCTACTGGCACTGCCTTTTTTGTGRCTCTGCAAATTCCTTGGTAACACTTCCATATAGTCCAAACGAATGTAGATAATCCTAAGTGAAATTAATTCTCTGCAAATCAGAACTATCCAGTGTATCTTACTGTGATACTTCCATGTTGTTAAACCTAAGGGGATATTGGTCCAATKCTATAAACACTTCTTTACACCTACTTACTTTAAATTTGAYRATTTTTCTGAAAAAATTGAGAAAACCAAAATTATTTATTTATGATTTACTGTGGAGGGCTTAAAGTATTTTCTTTGAGAAACTGATGGGAATAATCCCTCTCAGAGAGGGTCTTCTACCAAGGGAAAGTTTGTACAAATGCCTTTCACTTTTCCAACATTTTCAAATTGTTGGTAGTTTAGTTCAAAATYAGTTTTGGGGTTTGAGTCCCGTATAAACAGTAATTTGAGCTCAAGTGGTGTTTTGATGATTATTGTGCTGATGTTCTTAATTAGCTCTCAAGTGCTTTATAGGAAGAAAGTATCAGACTGCTCTTTGCTGGTTTGTGTGTCATCAATTTGTCCTTCTGAAGAGCAAAGGGGGGTTGGATGTGTCATGTTTCTTTGTTAATTACCAAACTTTTTGGGTGTTTTCTTCCCCTCCTGCAGCTGTGGCTTTTATAAACTTTRTTCAAAATTATTTCCATCCTGGCATCTCAGCTGCAGGTATTTTTAACTCTCCAGCTGTTCAAATGTGCGTGGCATGGTCGGATGTCCTGAATTACATGGGACAGTTTTSTAGAAGGCGTAGGGGTTTGGAGAGGTAGAAGGGAAGCTGTGCAGAAGAAAATTATCACTTTTGTTTCATGACAACAAGGGTAAGTTGCCTTCTTGGTGCTGAAGCTGGGTGCAGTTATGAGGCTGATCTTGGTAACTTTTCTTTARGATGGTGTGTTTAGGCTGGAAGGCTGTTATGCACTGATGAGATAATGAGAAAGCATTAATTGTTAGGAAAGTGAAAGTTGTGTGCTTTCTTCGCGGTCAGTTCGATTATAGTTTCTTCTTAAAAGTTCATTTACAGGTAGTGATAGTTTCAGAGACTTTTTCTGGGAAAGCTCTTGTAAAAAAGTTGGTTGTTTTGTTGTTTTTTTTTTTTCTGCCTCCTCCCAAACTGTTCTCACTTGCTGCTGTAGTAGGTTGTTGGATCACACTGCAGGATCTATGGAATTCTATTATGAATTCCAGACTGCTGCAGCTCCCAATCTTCAGCAGCTCAATTCAAATGCCCCAGCTGACCTGGTGTGCTGTGAACAGCTTCAGGGTGTGGGTGACCTGCTGGAGGGAGGTGGAAATGARCTGAAACAGGGCTGGACTTTGGCCTTGGGAATGAGGAAGGTCCCTCAAGAAATGGATTTATTTGTTTGCTGCTGTGAGCAGTAGCTCCCCACCAGCGCTGGGAGTGGTAAGAACAGTGAGGATGCTGAGGAGGGATGAGCATTGCTGAGTTCTCATGATCCACCTGAAAGGGAAAGGAGCRTGGAGGTCTGAAAGAGGACAGAAATGTAACCAGAGAGAGCAAATTGCTATGGACAGGACTAAGGGTTCCACCATATTTTACATGTTTGTTGCAAAATTCTGGTACTGTACTTATTCCTTCCTGAAAGGATGATCTTACTCTCCTGTTGCAACTATAATTTCTTGTATTTAAATGGGGATCTGGCCTGAATGCATTGCGTGGTTAAATTTGTGGCCTTTTTTTGGTAACATGTATGTATACACACTGGTTTGTTAAGAATTGAACTGAGGTCAGGATATAACCTCTCCAGAGAGACTATGGATGGTAATCTGTGCTGATCTGGAAAAGATTAAAATTTGAAGCTGAAAGTGCATGTGTTRTCCACTAGATGTGCCTTCATGTGTAAAATTTAAAAACATAATAAATAGGACAGATTAAACTGKGTGAAGAYAAACATRTTTTCTTTTTCCAATGTTAGATRTTATAAGAGAAGATAAATAAYTTTTTTAARAAAAGATAAAAGCCTTTGATTTTCATCAATTGAAAGAGCACTGGGAAAAGACTAATTCCAGCTAGTTTGTTTTTGCTAATTTTGKTAGTTTGTCTCTTCTTCATCCTGTCTGAGGGCAGGAAAAGAGCTTGTTGCCTTGATACCAGCTGTCCTTGGCCACCAGGCAGCACAAGTTTGCTTCTTGCCTATTTGAAGGACAAGCAAAATGTGGACAGGAGGATTATTGCTGCATGCTGCCTGAATATGTTGGATGCCCCAGATTCAGACTGTATCCTCACTGCTAAAGCAGATCACTGCCCTTCTGTTCCCTCCTTCTGGGCTCTGCCYATGCATACATTGCATTTACTAACATTTTATGCCCCTTCTTGTGCTTTGACAAATGCATTTTTTCTGTTTGAAGTATGACTAAGTGCTGTCAACTTCATTTTGGTTTGTTAAAGCAGGAAACAGCTTTTTGATTGTCTTTTATTTTTCAAGYCTTCTAAACATTGCAAAATAATTTTAGATTGTGGTAATAGTTTCGTTTCGTGTAGTGGTAGCAATTGTGTCTTTACTGTCAGAAATGCAGCTCAGGAAGCTGAGACTGTTTTCAGTTGGGTTAATTTGTTGTACAGTGTGTGTGAGCTAAGCACTATGTGACTTTGMAATACTCCTATGGAGAAGGGAATTTATGGAAGCTCCTTGTGGATATTAGTGTCTTATAACAAYGTGTGGTAACTTTTTGGTTGGGTTTTATTGGTTTTTACCCAATCCTTTTGCATACTGATGGGGAAATCCTGGAGAATGATTGGAGCTTGGTGGTGCCTGGTGCCAGCTGGGATTGGTGTGTTTTCTGTGAGCCCATCACTTGATGGGTTAACCAGCAATCTGAGATGGTCTGTCCCAAAAGGTGCAGTTTGTGGTGCTGACTTCCACTTGCATGATTTTGTTTCAAAAGAAAGAGAACAGGTAGACTCAGCTAAGGGGAACCCCATAAAGCCTTTGAAACATCCTCAGGTATTACTGTGCAGTGTCACTGCATGGGGTGGGGAGTGGGAGGTGTTGTAAAGGTTGGGAGGGAAGGCAGTGAGTGGAATATCCAAAGCAGTCCTAAAATCCTAAAACCAGAACATGGAGGTAAATACACAGTTGAATACAAGGTGAAAAAAAAAAAGTGCAAGCAACTGCCCTGCCTACTTGAGAAGCTCATTTCCTTGAATTCACTTTGCAGTGCTGTGGCTTCTTAAAGATGTTCTGCCTGTACTGCAGGGCTGAATTTTGGAGAGTGCACATTTCCAGGGTAATTAGCAAAATCTGGTGTGAAATTCCTGTTTGAACCATGTGCATATCCTCTTTGAGTGGGGTTGAATTAGAGTTCTTGTTTCTGACATTGTTATTGCCCTTTTTTCTGCTTCTTCCTGTATGGGCAATTTAAAATAAACAACTTCATAAATTCCTGAAAGTAATTAGCAATGGAACCTAGCAGATTTTTATTGTTTTCTTTGAGAGCAGCTTTTCCTTTCTAAAATCCATCACCGTGAGAAGTGTGCACCCATTTGTTTCTCTCCAATGTTATTTAGGGAAGTGCTGTAATGCTGCTAGGTGGAATGTGTATTTTGCAGATATTAAGGTGTGTGGAATGTGGAAGACTTTTTGATTTTGGGTTGGGTTTTCTTTCTGTTTGCTTCTAGACTTTATATAACATACAGGAGAAGTTTTCTGAAAGTAAAGATTAGTAAAGAGTCCAGGCCTCTCCTTCTTCAGGAAATCCCTCAGACCTCCCTCTTTCTCCGGCCCAATGAATCTTAACTCCTTTTTTTGCATTTACTTTGACAAGATGGACTAAAATTCATTTTTGTTGATTAAATTATTGTTTTGAGTAATTCTGTTCACTCTCCAGACACCTATTGTGTTGATAACTGAAAGTGGTGATTTGGTGTTGATCCTTCTGCTTATTTTTTTAAGGTTTTTGTCCCTACATAGTTGAGAAGTTTTTTTTTTTTTAAGAACTGGAGTTCCTTGTTTTATTTCATTTATTGCTATCTTAGTTTAGTAAATAGCTGTATTGTGAGTAATAGGCTTTTCATGGTAGTAAAACCAGTTTGATCATAAGCTCAAGGCAGTAACTCGGATGAGGGAGGAGCAGTGGATAGATTAATCAGTAGCTTTCATCAGTTAAGGCAGAGAAGTTTGCCAGCAGGCTTTGGGGACAGTGTGGTGAGCGAGCTGGACACTTCTCCAAGTGCATTGGGGACATGCAGCACCTCAGCCTTGGAGCTGGTGCAGGGACAGCTTTGTGCCTGCACAGGTGTGTGCAGCTGCTGCTGCTTTAGCGCCGAGCCTGGATCCTCTCCAGGCTAACACGTGAACTTTGCTCACTGTGACATTTTTCTTCCTCCCCCTAAATAAAAAAAAACCCTGCAACACTGGGCGTGCTCGAGCAAATATGTCCTTGGAAGTGGTAAGCTTGTTTTATTTTCCGTACGTTCTTAGTATCAGATATTGTAA